GAAGACGAGATACAGAAAAAGATTCTCTAGAGCTCTCTATACCATCAGCAACCAGTGCCATACAGGTTTACAGTTATTTTGTTTTCCCTTCCAACCTCGATTTGCCTAATATTAAAAAACATGTAGAGAAATTTACCAGTATTAAGGTACTTACAACTCAACTTTCATCAATTTATTTTACATAAAATGTTCAACATTGACAATAAATTAACATAATTATTCAATCCTTTATGAACTTAAAATAAAATTATAAAGTTTTTCACTTCATTGTGATCGTTGAGGTGAAAATTGTTATACCGATTTTTGATCTTCTCTCCCGAATTTACTGTTTTACTAATGCCTTTTTACGATGTTGAATGTTTTGTCTTCATGAATATAAAAGGCTCTGTATCAAAACCTTTTATAATGCCTCTTTTATTTATCATAGAATTGCATATATATACCTACCTACATTTTAAAGTTGAACTTGAAATTTTAATCTACAGAATTTGTTTGCTTGTTTGTTACTCTCATCTTCAATACATTTCTATTTCCAGTCTAACTTGCTGCCTACAAACACTACACTAAACTACTACTTGCACCTTACAGCAATCTCTACCAGGCAACCCTTGACTAAAAGAAGCTATAACGATTGAGTAAAGAGACAGCGGGCAAGTGTATTAAAGAAAGATGAATGTGAAAATTCATAAAATTACTTTTATGAATTTTCACATTCATCTTCACATTCACATTTTCAATTATGTTCAGGTCGGGGGAGAGTGATGGCCAATAGAGAATATGTATATTATTTTGTAGAAACCACTCGCGAACGTTACGTGCACTATGAATACTAGCATTATCATGTTGAAAAATAAAACCTTCATTCCCTATTGCACCGCTAAGCTTACATTTCTCATTTTGCCGAAGTTTGATGTAACTTTTAGAGCTTTGTCTACCTTCTATTACCACTAAACTAATCGGTCCATTATATGATATTGCACCCCAGATCATTACTGACCCCGCATCGTTTCGCCGCCATGATAAAATTATTTGATTTTTTCGTAAATCATGAAAATATTAAAAAAAGTTAAACTTAGACGGCTCTGATTGGTATTCTTATTATGTTTGATCTGTGGTATTTGATCTGGGGTGCAATATTATATAATGGACCGATTAGTTTAGTGGTAATAGAAGGTAGACAAAGCTCTAAAGTTACATCAAACTTCTGCAGAATAAGAAATGTAAGCTTAGCAGTGCAGTAGGGAATGAAGGTTTTATTTTTCAACATGATAATGCTAGTATCCATAATGCACGTAACGAGCTCAAGGAAAGTATAATTAAGTGTTGGAGCAAATCACCAATTACATTTATAAAAAAACTATACGACTCAATGCCATCCCGTATTTTTTATTTAATTCAAAAGAATGGAAAAGGCATTGATTATTATTAATCAATAAAAAATGTTAATAATAAAACGTAATAATAATATATATTATGTTTTATTTAATGGTCATATTCAAGTGGCGCGACACATTGACTATAGGAATTGTTGCGAGCGCCTCGTTGAGTGTTTTTGGTGTTTAGTTGTTTATAGTTAAACGTGGCATGTCTTAAGATTTAAATACTTTTTATTTCTAGATATTTATTTTGATTCATATTTTAAAGAGCAAAGGAAAATGCACTGGTCCTATTCATGTGGCACGGTGTGTGTATATATATACAAAACAATACAAAACAGAATATAGTTTCAAGAAGATGAATCCGGCTTGAGGAAATGTTCCTTGACATATTTTACAAAGGACTCTTGTGATTGTGCTCGTCCGATATTTACCGGCAGTGAGTTCCACAGTTTGATAGCTCTGATATAAAACGACTTGGCTACAAAATCAGTTGTATGAGGAGGGATCTCGGAGAGAATTAGAAGAGTGAAAAACTCTTCTACGAGAGATGGGTAACTATTGAAGTTGGGAACGATAAATCAGAGATATGGTCATACCTGCGTAGACCAAAGATGAAACAGATGTATGACACTTAGGTCAGAACAACAGGAATCAGCATAGTCAAGCAGTGGGAGAAGCACGGATTGCGCAAGTGATTTTTGTCTTAGTCGGCAATAAATTCTTGAGTCGTTTGAGCAAGCTATATGCACCAAACACTTTCCTAATAACCTCACGAACGTGATGGATCCACGAAAAATTGCAATCGAAAAACACCAAGATATTTAACGCTGTCTTAAAATGGTATACGATCGCCATTCAAGAGGATAGGTGGCAGCGTATTATAATTTATCCTGTCCAAATACCAATGGTTTCCAATAATTATTGCCTGAGATTTTTGTGGGTTAACTACCAGACCATGTCGTCGGCTCCATTCAGAAATATGCTGAAGATCTTTTGCACCTATGGAAGGACGTTTGACAGTCCTTCCATAGGTGCTTGTGTATAAATTTGGAAATCGTCTGCATACATATGATAGGAAGAAGAGAGAGGAAGCGTGATTGAATTAATGAATTTAGTGAAAAGGAGAGGAGACAAAACGCCACCCTGCGGTAGTCCGGCAGTTGTGTCGCACCAATCGGAGAAACTGTTTCCCACACTTCTGCGCTGCCGTCGCCCGTACAGGTAACTATGAAACCAATCAATTACCGGTAGAGATACATTAAGAGAAACCAACATTGCTAGCAATATGTCAAAATCCACACACACACAAAATCCACACACACACAAAATCCACACAGTATTGAATGCATTACTAAAGTCTAACAGTGTTAATATAGTAAGCTAACGATTTTCTATACCCTCGCGTATATCATCTGCAATCTTGACAAGTGCAGTAATCGTACTATGACCGGGACGGAAACCAGATTGAAATGGATTGAGCAGGTTGTTCAAAGAAAGGAATCTACTAAATTGTAGATGAACCAATTTTTCAAGGACTTTGGATAGGAAGAGCAATATGGAAATAGGACGATAATCTGAAAAGGAATCAGGCTTAAGCTTTTTAGGTACAGGAACAACATTAGCGTCCTTGCATGCAGAAGAGTAAAGAGATGAGGAAATATATTTATTCATGATTTTGGTAATTACAGGAGAAAGGATATCTAGGAGAGGAACAATCATATTACGACTAATGCAATCGCTACCAATCGCATTAGACGAAACAGCAAGGTTATTCTTCTCAACGTCACACTTAGTGCATTGCTTAATAACAAAAGGATTAAAAGATAATAAAGGAGAAAAAGAGTATTCAGAGTTTGATGTTTCCATCTAAGGAAACAGACGAGCAGAAGTGACTATTTCTGCAGATATATTTTACAAGAATTTTTTGTTTGAAGGGATACCATTTAATAGAATAGTAACATAGTAATTCAATAAATTAGTGTTAGTTTTCTTTACACTATTTAGAAAATCATATTTATTTATCATAATCTCAGTATTACCATATTAGTGACAAAAACAAATGGCAGGCGTTGGCTCATAGCTGGTGGGCGTTTGAGCCGTAAGTAGTAAGCAGGCTTTATTTTTACTTAGATATTTAATTAAGGCAGGTTATTTTATGGTAAATTATTTTTTAAGTATTTACATTTGTTCCATCAAGACTGAGGTCAGATTTAATTCATGTTATTTTGTAACAGTACGGGTATTAAAATATATCATTGTTTCAATTATTTCTCAGCTTTATTGTATCTTATATTTAAGACGTCTGATACTTTACAGAACTTTTATAAAAGCAATTTGTTTAGACTAAATTAAAGCTAGTATCATCTCAAATAAACAAAGAAGCAGACGGACAGCGGACACCATTTTATGTAGGTTATCTAACTTTTCGACAATTTGCCGAATAATAACAAATTGAATTTTGCATTTTCCTCTCTTCATTTAAAAACTCCAAATTGAGGTTTCAATATACTAACATATGAATGAAGTTACAATTTACTATGGTTACTACAATATTTCTCTAGCATAACGGTTTCCTAATTGTAACCTGAATCTAAGTGATTAATCAAAAGTGAGATCCAACTACGTCGGAGATTTTGTATAAATAATTCTAAGGTAAGCTGAACAACTACTAATTAAGCGAAGCTCCGTCTAAATTCTGTAAATCCAATACGAAATGCATTAGCAATTAAGACCGCGCAAAAGAATTGAGAAAGATATCGGATCTTTTTAGGGGTGACACAATTACTTTTCAAGAGCATTATAAAAGAAATATTTGGAACATTAATAGCCAACATTCAATTTAAATGAAACCACCGTATATTTTCAAATGTTCGATGAAGATTACTGGTGGAAAATGTCTACTGCACCAAGTTTACCTATATATATTTTGAAAATATATTTTGATTTTTATACTTCGGATAGACTTCGGAATAAATCTTAGATTATAAATGTATTGCATAAACCAGTCCGCATGCGATTATTATTCTACCACGTTTTCTCATAATCATAACTAATACCGTCTGAAAATAGCTTCTGAAGTACCTTTTTATTACTTTCTCGAAATTGGTGTTGGATTTATATTTTATTTAATCATACTTGATCCAAACCGAACCCATTTAAAACTATTAATAATGTGATTAGGTCTTTGACTTTTCTACACTAATGGTATATTAATTTATTTATAAATTGTATTGTTCCTAATTTGGTTAGTATTGCAGTGTATTTAAAGGTGACATTAGCGATATAATATAGATTATACTATACTATTTTTACATAATTTCTATAACGTTATTATTTGCATATATCTCATATATCATTATTAGGCTTATTTTTTAAGCGTTATTTTATATAAAAAATCGCATAAATATGGAACAGTATTTTTAAAATAAGTATAGTTACCTAGTTTTTACATAAAAGTGCTAGAATATTCGCTAGGATACTACAGATGCATAATATTTAATAGGAACTAAAACTTTCGTAAGTTAAGTCGATTGCAATGTTTCAAGCGTTGATTTGGAAAAGTCGTAACCGAAAGTTGGTAGCCCTGATAACATCCCAGTACCTCTTCCGAACAAGTACCTCAGTCGCACTTCGGGTCCTGTGATGTTCAGACGTCTAGTTTGATAGCCGGGCCGCTCGCGGTGGACGTGTGTGTGAACACGTGATTCAACAGTGCGGTTTTAACAATAATTTTGTTCATTGAACTGTGGAGTTCGATTTGTTTATTTATGGTAAGTTCACTTGTACTGTTATTATTAAAATAATTAATATGCAATCAAATATTTACATTACGACTTGCGCGGACGAGTGCCAGGTAGGTTTCAAACTGCCGCCAACTCTGAGGTTCCGGTTCGATTCTCAGTTAGTTCAATGTGGTTTATAAACGTTCGCATTATCAGACGATTACGAAAACTACCTCTAATGAAGTGATTTCTAAAGAGGATGAACATCTTAATAAATTATTAGCAACATATTTCAATAAAAATATAATCAATCGTTTCTATATTGTTTCGAGTCTATATTAAATACGAATCCCTATAGTTTATTATTATAATTCCATTGTATCGGCTTCGCATTGAAAATGTTATTAATGTTTCTAAATTGGATTTTAAAGACAGTATTAAATATTTTCACCTAATAAAAAACAATCATTGAATCAAAAATTATAATATGTATTATAAAAATACGTCTATAATTTTTGCCAATGGAGCGCCAATTTTTATAATGAGTGAAATGACGAAGAATTGTGTGGATCATTTATGAATGTTGTATCTATTCTTGTTGCTCCGAAAGTACTGTACCTCTAGTACAAGTTTGTCTTTAAAAACTATAAGCTTAGTTTTCGTTAAAACAATAAAAAAATAAAAATAAAAACTATTTGTGTACTATATAGTTAATTAAAATTTTATGTAGCATAGAATTATTCAATAAAACGAACTTCACAGCTTTATTATGGTGTCTTTTACACGTTTATAAAAAGAAAAAGACAATGACGCAACGATCTCGTACGTCTTCGCGAAAACTATCTGTGTCACATTTTATTTCCATATATTTCACAACGGCGCATCAAGCTGAAACCTTAATAAACTTAAAATGGTAGTTATCAAATGGTTTTCGAATAAACGGCAGAATGAGTTACAAGTGTACCGTCTAACTGAAAGTAATTGTAACGGAAAAAGAAAACGATCTAGTTTCGTCACTCGATTAAAATTTTCATAGGAGAAAGGGATCGTTCCCTTGTAAAACACATAATTTTTATATATTTGATATTGTATTGATTGTTTCTCTTATGATGAGTAATTAAAAATATAATGGCAGATTAGGGTCATTGTCGGAAGTATTTAGAAGTGGATAATTACTCTCACCCAATTTAATTTCAAAATGTACTTTGTACAAATCGATTCACGAAAGTTTCTTCATCTTTGTGATGCGAAAGCCTCATCTTTGTGATGCTTTTGATGACATAGTTATTAGCATGGACGAATAAGATAGTGAACTTATAGTAGAAGCTCACAGAGTCCACGTATGTCGGTGTTATTACCGAAGTATTTCCCTCTTTGTTTCAATATATAAATAATTTCACAATTCAACTCTTATGTATTACTAATAAATGGGCCATGGTCAGAAATAGCACGCTTTAGTGCAGTATTTTAATTATAAAAATATCTGTCTTCATTTTGAGTAATATTTATTTGATAATTATATTAAATATACAAAACGAATTAACAGTCATAGCAAACAATTATGTTTTAATCCAAAGATTAAAATATATTTATTAGTCAAAGCAAAGAGCAAACTTTAAACATATAGAAGTGAAGTTCGTCATATTGGGGAAGTTACGTGTAGTTTGTCAACGACAGGTATATCAGAATCTGATGAAAAAACTAAACAAAAGAAAACATCTCGAACTTCATATGGCAATATAAATTATCTACTGTTGACAACTGTCAAGTGAAAGTGTAAATTGTTGTCTATACTTGTGAAAATATTAATTTATTTTGTGGAAATACCGAAGAAGTCATTGATATCTCAAACGAGAAATATTGTTTTGATGCTTAATGGTAAAATTTGTGAAAAGAAACTGAAGATAGACGGAACATTTTTGAGTTTAAAATGTGTTTATGAATTGACCGGTAACTAGCAATGATGAGTCTTAATAATTAATATTTTTTGAATAATTAATTCGTAAATATTCGTTGGCGTGTCGACTACTGCAATAAAACGAATTATTAATGAAGGAGAATATATAAAAAATAGGAACGGTGAAAAGGAGAAAATAAATAAAGCAGATTTGATTTAGGTGTGTAAGCGTAACAGCAGTTGCAATAATCGTACAGATAAGCAAAAAGAAACATAAAAAGGAAAGCTACTTTTATTTATTCGTGTTACATTTCGAGTCAAGTAATATATTATTGGCTTTTTTCGTAGGGTCAAAATATTAGATATACATAATATAGAGTGTACAGGTGTATGTTTGTGCACTATATTATGACCCACGCAGATCTATGTCAAAATTTGCCGAGACAGGAATATGGTCGGAAGTACTTTCAATGCTATGAGGCAGTTATTGAAAAGTATTTATTACAGTTATTAAATATATTAAAGTATTACAAATATCAAGATGTCCTTAAACATTTTCCTCAATGTCGCTTACTACAAATTATTTTTTTTCCGAAATGCAATCAGTTTCTGGTACACCTATAACATAATTAAATCATACTACCAACGACTTCGTAAAACGATAAATAAAAGTTTAGTCGAAAATTAACCAATGTTGCCAGTGCCAATTTTCAGTATCAAGTGTAAGTGACACAAAAAGCGATGTCATCAAATACAATTGTAAAATCAGTCTTGTCTAAAATAAAATAATTAATTATGTCCCTCATGTATATATGTATATATTTATGTTAGTTTTGATATCATGACTATAATAATGTGTTTATTTAATCCATTATATGTATATTATTAAAGTATTTAATTGTAAGTAATAAAGATTCTTTTAGACGCCATAACCTACCCAGTGTAATTTATTTTGTCCTTTCTGTAACGGTTGCCTGGAAGAGATCGCGTCTAAGCGATAAATTATTTGACTGTATGGTGTATGTACAATAAAGAATATTTAATCCATTCATTAATCTTGGAATCTTCAATAATAGGAACGACAAACTTTCGCATTATAAGTAGCGATGAGTTTACTCTGTTTTTTTTTTATTTTATTTTTATATTAGAAATGATTGCATTTAATGATTTTATAAAAAAAATATGAGTAACAAAATTTTACATATTTCATTAATCAATTATTTCTTTGAATCATTTTTCTTTAATATTCTTCTTTAAAAAAATTTACCTATTTGTTTAAAAAATGATGTTGTCAATGTATGTCTAATATTAAACATTACTTTGCACTACAAATTAAATGAACGATAAAATATTATTTTTACACTTGTTTTCCTATTGGTGCAATAGCCCGACTACATGTTCCGTCTTGCTTGCGGGCATGCTTAAACAGTATTTAATCGTATAGGCACGACGAGTGTATACCAGAGGCTTATTAAAGTAATTGGATAGTTTAAACTAATGAGACTTGTACTGCGGTGTTTATTTCATTATGATTTCCGCTAAAGGCACTACTGTGAAATGTATGGTAACGTAATTAGTTTTCGAAAACTATAAAATCTTTTACTGGTGGTACAGGACCTATTTTAAAACTATTTTAAAAATTCTTTCGTCTACGGAAAGCTATATCATACACGGGTGACGTAGACAATAATTTGTCAAGACAGGTAGTATATTATAATCATGAAATCTGTAAGCTTATTACTTTTAAATTGTATACGTGCGAAGCCCAAGGCGGATGTCTAGTAAAATTTTATAATACTCCAACAAGTTATCATGTTTTGGACCAGTAAACTTTTTAATGTCTATTGTGCTAAAAGATCTGCTTCCAACATTACCTGTTAGAATACCATCCATACTTCCCACAAATTGAAATACGTTTTCATTTAATTTACACAAGGAAGTTTCTTGCGATATTATTGCTATATAAATCTATAGGAAGAACACAATGTAAACCAAATCTTCAATTTGTATCCTTTTATCATCGAGGTAGAAATTTCAAGAGAGTCACATGTTTTTTGTGCTAGTTTTTGATGCTATGTTCAACGTCTTTATAGAAATACGCAATAAATTCTGACAAATGTTTTTTTTCGTAATATTAGGATAAAGGGTATAAGTTAGAATATTTTAATTTCCATCCGATCAAATGTTTATTGAATTAAACGGAACTTAAATTTTACAGTCCTAGAAGTAAAGATAACTCAAAAAAATTACAAAGTATTTGTAATATAAAAAAATATTTGAAACAGTTAAGTTAAATTTAATTTTAATTACCAAAATAAATCTTCTGGAGAAAAATGAAATATCACTAAAGGATGCCTTATTTTCTAAAACCACTCTTATCGAAATTATTCTTCATCTGCTGAGTGTTCAATAAAACATAAATCAAACTCATTAATGATTCAATTCATCAATTCAATTGCTTTTTAACTACAGAAAAAGAATTGCTGAGAAATGTGTTTCAAATACTGAACACTGGATGCCAATATTTTCCGCTAAGAAAAAAAATCTTTATGACTATCGCAAAACGAGTGATAAGCGTGCAAATTGAAGTAAGAGCCAGTCAAGTATGAGATGGGCCGCTCGGTTCGAGAAGCTCGGTGTCAATTCAATACATTAATTCAACAGCCCTACTGGACCCACTGGGTTTTGAATTAAAATATCGCTCGGGGGATGTTTGCTGAATCTGTGAGGAGTATTAATTTGAAAATGTTAATGCTTAAGTTATCTTCGAGCATTAAGGTGGAATTATGGTGTTTAAAAAGCCGTGTTTAATGATAATTATTTTTTTATATTAGGGATAATGAAATGTATAACGAATAATATTTAAAAGTAATAAATAGGACTTATATCATTAAGTTTATTATATCATATTTTGTATTTATATGCTCGCTGCTTACATGCAATGGAATGAAACATCGAAATATAGGCTATAAGCACCATGTGGACATATGCCCGTTTTCACAAAATTTAGGAGTCGCCTAAATCTATCGTTTAAATATTTTCGAAAGCCTAAGGTGAAAATGCACTTCACCAGTGACTAGGAACCTCCTAACGACAATAAGCAATGTCCAACATGTATTATGTGACCTCCTTGTGTTTGATATTAATGTAA